TATATATATATATATATATATATATATATATATATATATATAGGAGCCTAATCAAATGAGAACTGATTAGTTTATTGTAATTGTAAGGTCAAATTTCAACCACAAATCAATGGATAAATTAGAAAATTAATAATTATAGTAGTTTGAGTTAAAATTATAATTAAAGGGCATATTAGGTATTTTTTAAAAACTCTTCTCTCCTCTCTCATCTCTCCGGCCTCCGGTGAAATCGGTATCACAGTATATCACAATGGGTATCACATTGTGTATTACAATGGGTATCACATGTGTATCTTTGTTTTTAATGTTTGAGTTGGTATCATAGTTGGTATCACAGTATACCACAATGGGTATCACATTGTGTATCTTTGTGATTACTTGGTACCTGCCAGATTAATGTTCACCGGAGGCCGGAGATTGGAGGTCAGAGAGATGAGAGAGAAGAGAGAAGTTTTTTAAAAATAACTAAAATGTCTTCTAATTATAATTTTAACTCAAACTACCATAATTATTAATTTCCTAATTTATCCGTTGATTYGTGGTTGAGATTGGATCTCACAGTTACCACAAACTAATCAGTTCTTCCTTGAATGGACCCCTATATATATATATATATATATATATATATATATATATAGGGTATATTTCTTTTACAACCTTATGCATTTGTACAACCTTTACAACCCAATTAATTGAGATATTTATAAAAATGATTGGAGTTCATTTATTATGATTTGAATATTTATGGAATATGAATAGAGTTTATTAATTATGATTAATATTTTATATTAGGAAACAATTAATTGATTAAAAATTGAATGGTTGAGATGAGGGTTGTATAGGGTGTATGAATGGCAAAGGGTGTAGAATAACATCCCTCTATATATATATTGATGATTGATTGATGATTGAAATCATGTTTTAAGATGATACTAGAAGGGTACTCGTACAATGCAGTGAGATATATCTTAATTTTAATGTTTCGTTTTTTTGTCTCAGTTGATATTATAATACAGTTTTATGTGGTTTTGAGAAAACGATAATGTTTTTATTTTTAAATAAAATCTAAACATAGAGATATATCATTAAAAATTGAAAAAAAATATTGATATTAGTATCAAACTAACTATTTAAAATTTCTCATTTTTTGTGTATTTCTTTAATTCATTTTTTTGGTTTAATAATATAATTTTTATAAAGATAATAATTAGGTATTTTGTTAGAACTCAATGATTATCTTAATTATATTTTAGATTTTTTATATTTAAAATGAGATGATTATCCTCTATTTGATTATGTTTATCTGCAGTTAGTTACACGAATTCAAACATGAAACTTTAAATAAGTTGTATTTTCACACAATTTACTTGTAATCTTAAATTTTAAATAATATACATAAATAAACAATATTTTATGCATAAAATATAGTTTTTAAAAGTTTTTATTAAATATTTTATAATATAGTATAAATAGTTACATCCACAAAAATGTAAAGTAGAAATGAACAAGTGGGTGTAAAGCTTACCATAAGCCATTTTGGTTGTATAAGTAAGTAGGTGTTTAAGTTGATAATTTATCCATACAAATTAAAATACTCTAAAAACTCCAAATCAAGCAATCACTTGTGTTCGTGAAGCCCCATTTTTTATATTCCAGCGATTAACAAATACAACTTTTTAATTTCAATTGTTAAAATAAGTTACATAAAATAAATCATTAAATTTTTTAAAACAAGTTTATTTAATACATAAATTTTATTAAAAATTTAATAAATGTTAAATTTATTTAAAATACTATAAACTAAAAGAAATCAAATAGTAAAATAAACCAACAGAAATTGGTATATGATGGATTTTGTAGTCTATATAAAGTTTCGGTAATAAACATGATGCCTTTCATAAGAATTTTCAATGTTGAAATAAAAAGTATATGATTAAAATTCAGATGACATCTTAACGGGACGAAATCTAGATAGTTGTTTTAAATTGAGACAAATACAATTTAATACATTGAGAAAGAAAGAAAAAAAGCACATTTATGCATGAACAATTTCAAAAACATCAAATGCATTGATATCTTCGTGATAATATCTAGAAAAACAAAGTTTGATTAATGCAACTCCATTAGATCTCTAAAGACACTAATATAAGAGGACATTTTTTTGGCTCACTTAGTGACTGAGTTTAGCAAAAGGGGCAGGGGAGCGAAATTGAACCCGTGAGCTATCTTGTGCTTGGACAAGGTAGCCACGTTCTTTTGCCAACTAAGTTATACGGCGGATGCTCTATATGAGAATATTATAGTTGGTTTGGTGGGTTTCTTGTTTGAGGAAAGTGATAATGTATGAATTAAAGAGCAAGCAGATGTGGGAGCAGGCTAGGGTTATTGGGACTTTTCAGACTTTGATGAGAACCAACTTAATGAGGCCTAGCAAACATCATGATGATGATATTGACATGTACCAAACCACTCACACTATCGTTCATTCACTATACTTGATATTTCTGTGATTTTGATTCAAGAAAGTTGTAACAATTTATTTCGCTATCAATGGCCTATTAATAAAAAGAGGCACTTATTCAATAAAAGAAAAGTAAAAAGAAAACAATGTTATTCACCAAATGTATGTTAACAAAAAATATGTTGACTCCCGAGACAATAGAGTTGTTCGGTTCATTTTCCTTTTAAGTATTATATGAATAAAGTTGTCTATATTAACAAATTTGTTTCTATGACATTTTATAAGTTAATGTTTGGTTGTTATGCTATATAAATAGTTTCAATGGTAAAAATGACTATTTTACCCTTTGTTTTATATTGAACACTTTAGATCAAATAAATTAGTAGAGCAATTTTGTTACATCAAATAACCCTATCAAGAATAATAAGCAATTCAATGGATATAAAGAGATAGAAGTTGACGGAGAGAGAAATTGATGGAGATGCGTCGTTCCCTACTCTAGTGTTACCGCCATTGAGAAGGAGATAGGCAATGGAGAACTTTGATGGAGGCGCTTGTTACGAACAAGGGTTTTTTTTTTCCAATATTGAGGTTGGGTGTACTTTGAAAGAGAAGGGTATCTAGGTAAATAGTTCGGTTGAATGTAAACAACAGCTCTCCTCAAGCTGACCAAAAAAGTTGTTGATTTCCATATCAAGTCACAACCGAATAATTGTTTATGGTTGATTGAATAAGCTATACGGCCATTAAGCCAATGCCAAAAGGTCCAAAGTTTCTTATTCATAAAAGCTAGTAAACACCTAAGATGCAAGTTATGTTCATTTATATCACTATACACACCTTTACCGCAGTTCAAACGAAATACGTGTCTTATCCATAAGAACATTGGCCAATATTTTTAATATATGTCATAAACCAAACAAAACTGACCCACTAATATATCCAACTTTTGGAAACAGTCGTCTACCACAAAGATTAAAATGACCATTTATGTATGTAGAGGAATACATTACAAAGGTCTCATGGTGATGAGTAATGTTTGCAAAGTATGTAAAATCATACCCCACAACTTCCTTCAAAATAGAGAAAATGAAGTTTTTAACGTATTTTTAGTTTTTTTATGCGTTACAACTTCTCCAAAATGAAGAAAGTAGAGAGCATATTTTCTCCGAATTTGGAGAATTCTACAAAAACTTCACTTTTTTATTCCCAAGAAATTTAGCTCAAACTAACCGTGCAAAGAAATTAAATGAAAGAGAGAAATATTTTTGTTATATTATTGAATATTCTAATAATATAATTAATGTTGAAGTGTCTAAAATGAAGATTTGAGAGTTCGATGTTTTTTTTTTTGAGATTTTTTTGTGTTCATTTTGGAAAAATTGGAAATAGATTCAATAGGAGGTTTGTTTACAAAGAAAGTCCTCTTTGCCCAACGGGGTATGGTCATGAGGTATGTAAACCCACCATTTCTATGCATCCCAACAAAAGCCCTTTTCTTTAACCAAATTGAATCACTACTACCACAATTTCATGCAGTCGAAAGACATACATATATGCCTTATTTCGATTTATTATTATCATCAATTGATATTTAATTCTCTTTAGTGTCATGTTTTGATGCTATCATAGTGCATCCCACTCCATACATTCATATATAAATGTGCTTTTATACAAAACCATTGGTTCAACTTATTTTACCTGTTATAAATTCAATACCAAGTCACACACACACACACACACATATATATATATAAACTAAGGGTCTTTATACTCTATTTTTAGGGTATCAGGACATGTATATGCACCTTCTATTCCATGACCCTACTAGGTTGGTTTGGCTTGAGATTTTCTAAAAACTACAAAGGTATAGTATATACTTCATTAGATTCCAACAGCCAAATTGTTGATCTATTTTGCTTCTACTTTTCCTGTTCAATCCTACTTGATATTCTAACCTTTATTTCAAGTGTGTGTGTATATGTAGAAAGGGGGGAGGAAGATGAATGTTGAACCTGCATGTATGAAAGAGGTGAAAACATATATTTGCTTTGGTGGTGGGGCAAAAGCTAGCCAATGATTCAACATTTAAAACAGATAATGTTCAGACAGATTAGAAATGGCATGCCCACCTCCTTCACAAGATTGTCTTAAAACTTGTTGGTCTTAGCACAGCATATACTCTACCTCTATGCCTCATCCAACTGGTCCTGCATCCGAAAAATAAACTGTCACACTACAGTTTGATGCAGTTATATAACAGTTGCATTTTAATTTATATGACTTCATATTGGTTGTGTATGAGGAATCCGATAATATACCCACATCTACTTTTGACTTCTGAATCAGAGTGTTTTTCAACTTGAAAAGTTATAACTATATTAAATGTCGATTCTAAATTTTTTTGAAGCTAAGAAGCATTTATGTCAAATTTGTACATCAAGCATTTTAGGTCTGAATTCTGAAACACAAAAGTGGCTCTTGATGAAATGATAGACAAACTACAAAATAGTAATTTGACAAATAACAATTTACAGCTCCAATGTAACTCATATGCAACTAAGCTTAGGAAGTCGCATGTTGCAATCAAATTGGTATAAGCATAATAATGAAGTTTATTTCAAATCCTATTATGGAGTTCCAACATTATGTGTGTGTGTGTGTGTGTGTTCTAGACATGATGGACCATGACATAACTGGTGATGGGAATTGGGAATGGAAAAGGCATTAACCTGCGCATCTGAAGTCCAAAGAGTGAGATTGTCCCTCAATAGTTGCATAATCAGAGTGCTATCCTTGTATGAGTCTTCACCCAGAGTGTCCAGTTCTGCTATAGCTTCCTCAAATGCCTATTCATATGGCAAAAACAGTGCAGATATACATATTAGGCATGTCATATATATTACAAGCAGAATATAGCAATAAGAAAGTAGCAACAAAACCAATAAATCCCACTTGAATGTAGGTCTTGGGAGATGGGTTGAGATGTAGTCAGGCCTGACCTCTATCTCAAAGGATAGAGTGGCTATTTCCATAAAGACCAATATATATTTTGCCTAGGATTCTAATCAACACAAAGATCTTTAGATAACATGTAATCAAGCACTGATTAATAGTATATGTTTCTTACTGGAGACGACCCCAGGTCATTAACCTAATGTATGTTCCTCACTGTATCTTGTTAATGTGTCCAAACAAAAGTATGGCTTGGTTTGCAACTGTGGTTGAGAATATAAAGCATGTACAATGGAAATAGTATCTATTTACTTAGCGTATCAATGATGATCCCCATGATGATGGTGAGAGACTGAGCTAAATTCATCATCCATCACTTACCATCACTGGACATGAAGATTCCAATTATACACTTTCTAGACAACCAACTTACCCTCACAAGTCACAACTACCATGTCATGAGAGCAACTTAAGATCATTTTAGAAGAGTCCCTCCATGTTCATAGTTTCATACATATATAATATTGGAAAACAATTATTTATCCACTTAATTTGGATGAAGCACTATTTGGATGGATAAGGAATTTACTTCAAATATGTGCACAGGTGAAATCCGTTACTTAACTATGATGTTTTCCAAACCAGTATATGTGTTGAGCCAATTAAGATGACATCTAGACCACACAAGTAAGAATATTTCAACATTCAGTTGACTTTTCAGACTTCATTTTCCAAGAAATATTGGCTTCTTTCCACCCCAAAGGTTGAGTGATTATGACTAACAAACACCTCTAAAGTCAATAGCTAACTACCTCATTAATTAATTGCAGAATCATTTCTGATTAATTTTTAAATCACCCCTGCAGAAAGTTGATCTGCAAGGATCATTGAATTTGAAATTGATGCACCAAATGATAACAGGTATTAAATCCTCAAGAAGAATAAAGATCAAGAAAAACAATTCAAAGGGGTATCCAAGTTACCTGTTTTGCCATGCTACAAGCCTTGTCTGATGAATTCAGAATCTCATAGTAAAACACTGAGAAATTAAGTGCCAGACCCAATCTTATTGGATGTGTTGGAGCCAGATCTCCCACCGCAATGTCCTAAACAGAATAATATGCAAAATGATTAATATAGCAACAACCTGCATAACTAACCAACAATTAAGTTTTTTAAGCCTTCAAAAGGGACAATTTGAGTCTACCAAGCTCATAAAAGTCAAATAATTCAACTTCATGGTTTGGCCGTGTCTTGAGGTGAGTATAGATATACTCGATATGCCTAACTGGAATATGCTACCAAATCTTGCAGAATTTACAAATTACTTTTAAAACTCAGCTTCTATAACTCTTTGGAAATCATATGTAACATCAGTTAAGTTCCAAAAAGTTAAATAGTACAAGAATATAGTTTATATCCAGTTATAGATATAATTATTCATATAGACAAATCTAGGTCATTATCGGGCTTTTTAACTTGATTCTATCATAAGAAAATCTTACCTACATTTACATATCAAACTAATACGAAAGTGATTTTAATAAGAAAAAGTAGGCAGAAACCAACCACTTGACCAGCTCATGAACATTAATCGTGTAAGGAATTTCAATGCATCAGAGTGCAAGGATTTTCCACACCCGCAGACAGCAAAATCACCGCACCTTCTTAATAGAAAACCTTTGGTATCAAAACTTTATCATCTGTTCCTCTAAAACACCCATATGATCTACTAATCTACAAGCTAAATAACTAAACTTAGAAACTAGAAGATATTAACAAATGTAACCCCGCTATCCTGAACCTCCAGCAAAAGATTGAATCTAACTTCAACATATTGCATTAAACGAAGTAGAAGCTTTGCAAATAGTATTGAATGAACATATATACGATCATCCTAGCAAATCTTCATGATTCAAAACAAAATTCAGTAACAAAACTACCTGAGCAGCTTTGTAGGAATTCATAGTAGCCTCTGCTGCTTCCTTTCGCTCGTCTCCACCTTTAAACTCGGCTAAATACCTATGATAATCTCCTTTCATCTTCAAATAGAACACCTTTGATTCACCAGTAGATGCCGATGGCACCAGATTCGATTCCAAAATCTTCAATATTCCCGAGCAAACATCGGAGAGCTCGTCCTCGACCTTAGATCTGTAATCCTTGACCAGCATGACGTGATCTTCGTTCTTTCGAGACTCCTCCTTTTGTTCGATCGATGATACGATACGCCAAGCCGCTCGAAGAGAGCCGATGACGTTCTTGTAGGCGACGGACAGGAGGTTACGCTCCTCAACGGTGAGCTCAGCCGCCGGCGTTGTCCCGACGACGAGTTTTTCCATAAATTTCACCATCTCTTCGTAGCGTTCGGCTTGTTCCGCAAGCTTCGCCATGTACACATACTGCTCTCTTGTGAGATTCTCCGGCACGGTGGCTGCCGCCGCCATTGATAGAAGACGATCTTTAGAAAGAGAACGAGAAGTCACAAGAAAATGTTGTGGGAGTTCACGCTTTACTTTCGGGATATGTAATAGGGATATTTCTATTACGTGTTTCGCGGTCCATGTTTTTACCCGTGTGTCAAATCACATCTATCAATTTTTCGTCAACTTCGACCTTTAACAAAAAATGGCAGGAGTAAATTACAAATTTGGCCTCCCAACCAAGCCTTGTACCAATTTCACGGGTTACTGATCAGACTAACCATTCAAAATCAAAAAATTACATTTTTAATTACATTTTTTTAAAAATTCACAAAATAACCTTGAGTTATCCTATAAACACCATTAAGTACCTACAGGACCATTTTATAATTAATGAAAGTGACAATTTTTTATAAAAAAAAAAAAAATTCTAGGGTGGGTCCCACCCACAAGATTATTTTTATTTTTTAATTTAATTTTGTTTTAGTTTTTTCTAAAAAAATTATTTTCTTAATTGTTTTTAAGAATTTAATCTTTTTAAATATTTTAATTTTTTTGAACTTTATTTTTTTTTAAAAATTATGATTTTTCTTAGAAATATTTTTTTTACAAGTTTAGTTTTTTATTTAAATTTATTTTTTGTTAGAAATTTAGTTTTTTTTTCAAAATTTTAATTTTTTTCTTAAAAATTCTTTTTTAAGTTTAAATTATTTAAATTTGTATTTTATTAAAATTTTATTACTTTTCTTAAAAAAAAGTATAATTACTTTTCTAAAATTTTAGTTTTTAGAAAATAATTTAAATAATTAAACTTAAAAAAATTAATTTTTAAGAAAAAAATTGAAATTTTGAAAAAAAAATTAATAAGAACTAAACTTTTGTAAAAAAATATATTTCTTAAGAAAAATTATAATTTTAGAAAATAAAGTTGAAAAAAATTAAAATATTTAAAAAGATTAAATTTTAAAAAAAAATTAAGAAAATAAATTTTTTTTAAAAATTTAAAACAAAATTAAAATAAAAATAATAAATAAATATAAATAACCTTGTGGCCTTGTGGGGTCCTTATGCACCAAATGGTGATTGGTGCTAACTGCTAAGGGTGGGACTCACCCTAGAAAATTTTGTTCTTCTAAAAAAACTTGTAATTTTCATTAATCACAAAATGGTTCATGTACGTATTTAACGGTTCTAACAAGGTAACCAAGGTCATTTTAAGAAATTTTTAAAAAATATGGCTAAGAGTGTAATTTGTTGATTTTGGATGGTTAGTTTAGTAAGGATCCCCAATTTCACTAATGGTATACCTCGTCTTTTGGTCAGGTGTACAATATGACTTTAAATATATTATAAATGTCTCTAAAATAGACATCAAGCACATCAATGATTTATCAGCTCAAACAAATCAATGATTTATCAAGCTGAATAAATCGATAATATGATAAATGTGAGCATGAATCTTATAAAAAAATAAAGTAAATTTTAGTTCAACATCGGAATATGTGTGTGTGTGTATGTGTGTGTTTTCTTTTCATATTTTCTCAAGATTTACCTTTTTCAGGTTTGATTTGCGGTTCAAGTTATATTAGGTAATTTTCTTAAATGGATGATCGAAAGAAGAAACATCACAGGTCATAAGGTAGAATTTTCACACCATCTTGTATCATTTCGAAAGAATTGAATCATGGAGATGAGAAATGGTTATTATTCATCTCCTCAACTCTTGTGTTCTAAAATAAACACAATACAAACACCGAAATATGATTTGATGTTTTCGTAGCACAAGATTTGATATGTTCTCAAACGAAATGCCAAAATTAAAAAAGAGCATAGCAACAGCAAGCCTTGACATACATCATCCAAAATAGCAACATCTTCCCAAAACCTCCTACTTGCCTGCTTCTAATACACCAACTTAAATGCTTATAAATTACGTCATGAAGCTTTATTTCTGGAGGAAACCTCAATCTAATAAGGTTCAACTGGTGCACGAAATTTTTCTCCAGCATATATTGTTGTTGATCACAATTCTTCTTTTAATCATAAGGAGCTACATCAATTTTCAAACAAAATTAACATTTGGTACACATGAATATGTATGTCGTATGGGTGCAAAAACTGCATCGATTACCTGGCTGTGCTTTGCAAGGCGTTTTGATCGACAACGAGCTCCAGTCTTTATCTGGCCCACTTTTACTTCATCAAATCAGATCGCAAGAGCTACAAACTCAAAAGCAAACATGAACTCGTTTCCTACTCCATTTGCAACTTGAAATAGAAAGCATGTAAATTCAGAACTCTTATCGTGGCCAATCTAACAAAAAAATCAGCAATGAAGGTGTCCTTAGTTTTAGCCCTGCAAAATCATAAGACATCATCTGCATATGTTTAAAATAAATTGTCTATTGAATTAATTCATCCATCTGAAACCATATTGCACCTTCTATGGCTAGCCATCACCCCTCACCCAGCACGTTTTGACATCTTAACAGCTTCGATGCTTTCTGCAACAAACCCAGTTTGGTTCACCTGAAAGATAGTAAAGCATTGCCATCTGAATTTTGTCAAAAAAATATAAATACAGATGATAACAATAGCCCAAGTTATTCCAGCTATTATGCACAACAAATTTTAAACTACAAGTAAAACAAATACCTATGAATTTGCTTAAGGCTCAGATACTCATGGTAATAAAAGGATAGTAAGTAAACATACCCTCAGAAGAAGGGCATTGCAAGTCTTCTCCTTGATTGTTTTCTCAACACACTGAATCGGATAAAATGAGAACTGAGAATCGATATTTACTCTCTACAACATTGAGGTTGAAAAAAGCTTTACTATACCTTAGGATTTGTGACAAGGAGATCATAACCACAACTTGCATCTTCCAATTGCTCACCAATTTATACTGTCATCTTTGCATAATGTTCCCAATCATCCTGATCGAAAAGGTCCTATATGGATACAATTGGGTAGTCACTAACAAATGACTCGTAAACATTCTTCAAACTATTGTTTGATATCTTCTATGACCCATCATCATTGTGCAACATATAAAGTTCTTTGTATTTAATTTCCTTCTTTGTTTCTGTCAACACGAAAATAAAATTAACTTGTTTCTTTAAGTTGACTTATACCTCTTTCTTGAAATTCAAATCATATGTTTTATATTTGTTATCATAGAATTCAGATGTAGTTCATCCATTCCAATAACAACCTGCAATGAAACTGTTAAGATTTAAAGTTACATTCAAAAAGCGATATCTTTGAAGAGGTGATTAAAAAAACCTCCTTTCTCGTGTATCCAGCTTTTGCTATTGCAGTCTTTAAAAGCTCGAGACCTTTATTTTCCTATATAATACAATGATTCAAATAAATAGGAGATAAAATATCATGTATTATAACATTTTGACTGCGCATAATAATCTCTAAAGTTTTGGCAATTTGTTGACCTGGACGTATGTTAGAAGCAAAGACACCTTCATCACCAATGTTGGTGGCACCTTGACCTTATCAAGATAAACAAAAAAATCAGATTATGAAAACCTCTACAAGATTCACCAGATAACACAATTATCCAAAATCAAGAATTACATGATAACCTGATAATGGCTTTAAGTATATACCTCTTATGAAAATATTGACTTTTACTATCAATGAATGTAAAGTCAGGGTTGTCCCTGGGAGGGTGGCACGGGCGCATGCCTAGGGCCCAAAAATATCAGGGGCCCAAATTTCCCCCCTTAAATACAATAGTAGTCTAAAATAATTTAATAAATTAAAGAAACACAAAAAATTGTAGCATATAATAAGAGACAAAAAGAATTTAGTAGATAATAAGGACCCAAAAATATATCAACTAATTTCATTAAAGAAAAAAAAAATTAATTGGTCATTCATTATATGCTATTTTTTATTATCTATCTATTTTTTCTTTTATCTCTAACAAGGTCCAATGATATTGGCTATTGCTATCTTTATATGCTTGACTGTTTTCGTGCTTCAACAATTCAACGTTAAGATCATATGTTTGCTATTGCTATATATTTTTGTTGGATATTTTTATTAATTTCTGCTTCTATTGACTATTGTTATTTGGTTATCTTGTTCTAATTTATCTATTTTTGCTTCCACATAAAATATTTTATTATTGTTTGACAATCAATCTATTGTTCTTATAATTTATGACGTGTTTCATGGTTTTGTGATTAATCAATAAATTTTTTCTACTAGATGTATTTAGTAATGTCTCTTATATATGTCATGTTCCATAAACTTTTAATATTAACATCTTATTTTAGTTGAGCAAAAAAAGAAGGAAAATAAAATTTAAATATTTTCATCAATTGTTTGACTTATGCATCTTTCATTGGGATTCCACCACACCACAAGATTCTATTTAAGTGCTTAAACAATCATTTGTTGAGCTTGCGTATTATATGTTTAATTCATTATTTATTCTTATTGGATCTTAATGGATCATCTTTTCTTTCATATTCTTATTGATCCTCATTTGTCTAATTGTCTAGAAAACTTTGATAATTTTCGTTATTATTTATCTCTCATTGACCCTCATAACTACTTCCATTCACACGAATTCTCTTTTTAACACATATTTCTTGTTATTAAGATTTCTTTCCTCTGTAAATTATTAGCATTTCTTATACTCAATTTTATACTAATGAAAAACATTTATTGATTTTTTTTTTCGTACTTACTGAGGGTCAGTACAAGAAAAGTGAGTTTTGACGATGCGCCTTTAGGGATGACATGTTTCCGCCACAAGTTATAACGACGACATGTTGTTGTTATATACTATTTATAATGATAAATGGAATTTTAGTGACGAGAAAAGTCGTTGCATTGTTTCTTGCAGTGGGCCCTATTTTTACGTTCGCCCTGGGCCTATAAAATGTCAGGAATGGGCCTGTGTAAAGCTATTGAACAAGTGAACGAATAATTTTCGAACTCACCTACATGAGCATGAATCTAATCTTTGTTATCTCCAAAAGTACTGGATACTGGAAATTGAAACAAGATTCTCTCTTCTTGTCAATTCTGATAAGCCTCTGAAA